CGAGTGAGCATCGGACAGAAACCAAGTTGAGCATCGGTGGCTGCGCGCCATCATCACCTGACAGCACGGAAAATCAGTTGGAGCAGAACAAGTGAGGCATGGACGAGACAACGTGAGGCATGCAGGTGCTGCGCCAGCGCCATCATCACCTGCGGCGACGGAAACAAGTGAGCATGGATCAGAAACAAGTGAGGCACGCAGAGGCTGTGCGCCAGCACCGATCATCACCCTGCGAGCGACGGAACAAAGTGAGCATTGCAGGTGCTGCGCGCATCATCACCTGCGACGAACGTTCACATGCTGCTACACAATTTGCAGGCATGAGTGGCGGGCCGACACACGAGAATACGCAGCAAGTAAACTCATGCGATAGTCCCACAATGGGGGCCAACGCGGCAAGAATAAGAGCATCGTAAATGCATGCGACGATCCCACAATGGTGAGGCCGTGTATCAGACTGGTACAGTTTGCATTCTAGGTGTACAGGTGATAAGCTATTATAGACCAAAAATGTATCACTGGTTGAAAAGGTACAGCTGTCCTCACTGCCAAAAACATGCATGAGCTTCATGAGCAAACATGCACATTGCGCATCATTTCAGTTCAGTGTGTTAGCCAGAGACGCCTTACCCATCTTTTAGACAGCCTATTCTTGGATGAAGACGGATGAAATTTGGTAGAGGACGGCATGAGGGCGGCCCAATTTTATATATTATACACATGTGATAACTGACAACAGTGCTTATAAGAAATGTAAAATCATATCAGATTCCTGTCTTTTTGGCATTTCAGACAAAATTTCCTCCATTTTACGGTAAGGGCCTCCTGCTGAGGGCAGCTTTCGTGCCTGCAGCATCCTCGCTTCGCTCAGATGGTGAGACTTCCTGATTTTTTTTCCTGGCTAACACCCTGTTCGTTGGTTATGAGATGATTATTGTCTAAAACACAATAAGGTCTACATTGGTTAAAGATTAATAATTTGTAATAGAACGCACACTAAACTACGATATCCAACGGCTGTATTTATTACCAATTACCTTGTGATCCTGCATATCAGATGCCCACATGGCACATGTCCCTTAAGTGTACCTGAAAGAGGTTTGGAGTAACAAAAAAACTGCATTGTGTCACATACCTGTGCCTGACAGCCCCAGTTCTATCATCCTCTATGTTCTTCTGCAGGATAGAAGTCTTCTCCTCCATCAGGTTTGAATCAGCTTTTGTCCTTCTTGATGGCCTGAAAAAGCAGTATCGAATTGCTTTGGTCACATCAGTGAAAACACCCGATTGTGCTATTCAATATATTATTAAACCACTGCTAGGGGTAACTCATAACAGTAATAAATGTTTTTTATATAAACGGGGCCGCAACTCCTGAAATACCTGCAATAGCAAGAAAAAGCTTACATATACTACATATAATACTACTACCTATCTATAATATATACATACACATATTATATATATATCAGACTAATAATGACAAAGGAGATGAGTCTTTAGTACTGACTTTCACTACATTTTTTGTCGTCGAGTTTTCGATGTGAATAAAAATACAATGTATATACAAACATGAGCTTCTATCTTTGTTCCTGGTCCCTTATTCTATCTCTCCGGTAGTATTACAAACCGCGTAGCTTCTTAGTTTTGACATAAATCGTATTTTGCACGACATGGTTTTCACGTTAGTTACCGTATTCTGGCGAGGCCAAGCGCCAAATTCGCACACACAAGCTACTTGAAGGAGCACGCCAGGGCTTTTCGGCCGTAGCCTAGCTCGAGTGCAGAAAATGCGCTTAGAATTAAGTTACGTTGCACCATGCTGGGTTTAAAAATTAAAACTATTTTACACTTTAAACTATAGTTAGAATGCCTTTTTTTATGGTTGAATACCGCAGTTTTTTTTAAATAAACGGCTGCGCTGGGTAAAAATATCTGACTACTTCACCCGCGGAGGAATGATGTGTATGAATCGTTATGAGTAAACTGACGCTCCAGCCGATTGTAGGCTTTTCGCACATGTGTTTTGCATAGCAACCGTTAGCTCTAGTAACTATAGCCCGCGTACAGTTTGCCGTCGGCGCTGCCTGAGGCGATCCGGCCGTGCGTGCCTTCAGTAGGCTGTGTCAGCCTGTGTGTACGAATTTAGCGCTTGGCATCGCTGCAGTGAGGTAAATTACGTGAAAACCATGTCGTGCAAAAGTACGATTTATGTCAAAACTAAGGAAGCTACGCGGTTTCTAATACTACGCGGAAGATAGAATAAGGACCAGTGAACAAAAGAAGCTCATGTTTGTATACATTTGTATTTTTATTCACATCGAACTCGTACGACAAAAATGTAGTGAAATCAGTACCAAAGAGGTGTCTTACACCTTTGTCATTATTAGCTCCTGATATATATATATGTATACACACTAAGCACAAGCACAAGCACACACCCGCACGCACGCACGCATGCACACACGCACACAAATTGATATATATATCAGAAGTAGATAATAGGGACCCCTATCTCCCTATTCCCTACTTCTGATATATATATAAAATAGGAGGTATCTAGTGACGTGGGGATGGTCTCGTGGTTCTACTTACCTTCAGTGAAGACATAAGGCCTGTGAGGATGACATTGTGTTTCATTGCGCAGGGCATCCAGGCCTTGCACCACCGTGCGCGTGCTGCCCACAATCTCATCCTGCGTCAGTGCTGTCATCCTGCCGATCGATTCTATCTTCTTTCTGTAACAAAAAGCACAGCACTTAGTCACACAGCTACACGTACAAGTCCCGTTACAAGCTGCCTCTGCAGGGTGATAGCACAGTCAATCCTAGTATAATACCATCAAGAGTCCATAATTGAAATGGACTATCTATGACTTTTTCTATTATGGACCCTTGATACCATATATAGGATATGCAATCTCGCGTATATTTAAACAGGAAATTCTTTTGAATAAAAGCTTCTCTGCATGTGCTGCTACTACATAGTTTGCAGGATTGCTTTACTACAGGATATAGGGGCTGCATAGAATTCATACCTGTTTATATAGGCTTTCGTGTGTACAAGGTGCAGTTTGGCCGCAATTAATCACTCTATATAGATCAGAATAACATACTTTGCAGTGCCAATTCATGTTTCCTAGCATAGACTCACAAATTGCTGTGTTTCATATTGCACGACCGAAGAACTGGGGCCACCAAGCCCTTTTTAAACTGGGTCTCAAGTTTACTGTGCAAACTTCTCCAGTAGGTATTACTTATTACCCCCCGGTAATTCAACAACATTCTATGGCACGGGCAGTCACGACAGGTTACCAACCACTGTCTTACAGCGGATTACACGTTTATTTTAAGGAAAAAAAATGATCACAAATATCATACATACATACAAGTGCAATTCAAAACTTCTAGACAGATGGCATCAGGAACTGTACTTCAGACATAATAAATAAGCTATCTGATGCTACCTCACCTGTGACAGAGTATGGCTATGAATATCCATGCTTGCCATGATGCTTTAATTTCAAGAGGAGTCAGTCTAGTACATAAATGGTAACAGCTGTTGCCGGTAATGAGTGATGACAGAATGACTCAGCACATCACATCAAATAACGATGATGTAGAAGGAAGTGGAAGGAACAGTCAATCAAAGTAATAAAATTCTAGATGAGAGAAGCATGAAAGATAAATGAAAACATGGCGAGTAAGAATAGTTTCACAGAATTTCATATAACAGAAATATTTCTGCCAAGTTACACGCGAACGACGGATCGCAGCGACAATGTCAACACCATGCGTCCACTGCCACGATCGATGCTCTACCCGCTCTAGCTTATGCTCACCATAGGGTCTATGTCCCCGCAGGGTACTGCCGGTATACCGGAAGCGTAACCCGCTGGTACTATCTATACTGCCGGACCGTACCTCGCCCTACTCCACTAACGAGTCTAGGGGAAGTGCGCCCTACGCCTAACCCTACCCTAACCCTAACCCTAACCATATCAGATAGTTACCAACTTACCAGGGTACGTTCCGGTATACAGGACCGTACCCAGGGTACGTTCCGGCAGTACCCTGGGGGGCATAGACCCTATGAGCTCTACTTATGGTGAAGAACGATAATTTGTGCCCTAGAAATTTTTATAATCTGATGCTACTCTGGGGTAAGCGCTATGTTATGTTAGAACGCCTAAAATAGGCATTCAGATTATAAAAATGGCCCGAGGGCATGACATCATTAGTCTACTTCCGAAGTGCACCAAACGAATAAACAATCTATAGACTATAGTACGTATGGATGTTGCCTGGCTAACCGAAACGACGTTACATTTTCAACAATATTAGTCTTCACACCACGTCAACTCACATCGCGTTATTTGCGTAACTAATATATTTAAAGAGGCAGTATGTCGTCTACCAACACTACTCCACGACGCGCTGAGCGTACGTTCAACGACACCAACGACACCCAAATTATCACAGTGTCGTGATCGCGCACAGGTAAACATGGCTTTCCTTTCATCTCCTCCATCAAGCCACACCACACAAAACCGTAGAGCAGCGACAGTAGTAGCAGCAGATGCAGCAGCAGCAGCGCTGGCAGGATGGCAGGCGCACACGGTAGAAATCAATAAACATGGCTGGCCAACACCAGCCGGCATCTAGGCTCAGCCTCCCGCGCTCAGCATCCAATAATCAGCACGCTGGGTATTATAACAATAACAAGCCCGGTTGCTGGAGAGGCGCACCCACGCACGCGTAAGACAGAAGTAGCATTTCACGCATACACTACACTGTGCTAGGCCGTACATATATATGCGGGTACGCGCCTACGTGTGCGCGGGGGTACTCCTACACGTACGCTGTGGTACGCATACATGTACGCGGGGATACGCATACATGTACGCGGGGGTACGTCTATACGCATAAGCAGATATACGCCTCCATGTACACTGGGGGGTACGCATACATTTACGCGGGGTAGCACGTACTCTGGGGTAGGCCTACACGTATACGGGTGTCGCATGCATGTAAGTTGAGGTACACGTACATGGACATCCCCTGCTAATCAGGTACATAAACGCAGGTTAACATACACTTAGCGGCAGGGCACCACGTCACAGTATGTAAGTCTGTAACGCTGGACAGCTGTCACGCACAACAACGCAACCAGGCTATAGTGTATCAATCATTTCCTGTGATCGCTCGAGAAAAATTGTAACCATGAGAGAAGGGAGTTCTTGTTTTAGTCGAGACAAGCCGCGTGAATGTTGCAATACAGTACTAAAAGGACATACCCCATGCCTATTCGTTTGCAACATCCAGTCGTAGAAACCCGACGCATTTCCAAGTAAACGAACGTACGTAAGAACTCGGTCGTTCGTAAATATGCTCCTCAATGTAATAGCAGAGTCGACTTTCATTGTAACAACGCGAGGCTGGTGTCACGGCTCGTCAATGTAACCAGAACACGTGGCACATGTCCAATGACAACGGGCCATAGAACTGCTTTCAGTAAATTGATCGAATATCATCGCGCACGCCCAGCACACACCACTCAATCAATTTCTGCATATTTCACCAAATCCTTGAAACGCACGGCAACATCAGTACTGATCTGTCCGCGACTTCCGCTAGCAATCATTCAAACTGGAGGCAACATATTGTGGAAAAAACGCCGGATGAACAAAGGCAACCAGTAAGTGCAGCAGCAAACGGGGGGCATGCTTGCAACCATAAACCACCGTTGAACTACCTTGAAAACTGTAAAGCGACGCTCGTTCTCTTGCAGTTTTTAATGGTTTTAATCAGCTTTTTAACAACGCTGTTTGAAGGTTAGAGATTACCAGTGGGCTGGGCAGTGGCGTCACGACACTCGTGTCACAAAAGTCATGACACGTTGACACAGCGCATCAATGCAAATGTCGCTCATGAGAAATAGAAGGACACAGGGGGGAGTGGAGTTACGATCTAGCTATGACGTGGCCAAAAACTACTATAGTAGCTTACTAGTTTGTATCTGCTACGTAAACATACACGGCCACCGTAGAACGAACTTGTGTTGCGCTAATTTGATTTAACTAAGGGGTGGAAAACATAACAACTGCACGTCGAATTACCCACAGTTAGAACACACTAATTATTAGAAATTCCTCTGTTTTCCCGTGTTGTTATACCGAATCAGTCGATTCCAGCATCTCGTTGCCAGTCGTGTAACCTGTAATGTAGTGAAACAGTGTGTGCATGCATGCGTGCGTGCGTGCGTGCGTTGCGTGTGTGTGCTTGTGCTTAGTGTGTATACTATATATGTGTATGTATATATATTTACCCTCCGCCAAGGAGGTAATGTAATCGTCTCGTGTGTGTGTTCGTGTGTGTGTGTTCGTGGTGTGTGTTCGTGTGTGTGTGTAGCCACTAGTGTTCGCGCGCGATCGCGATTCAGCAGCAGCTGCGCCTTAGGGCGTCGAGTCAGCAGGCAGCTCGCCTTAGCGGCGTCCAGTCAGCCGTGTATGTGTGAGTGTGTGTGTGTATGTGTGTGTGTGTGTGTATATATATATATGTGTGTGTGTGTGTGTGTATATATATATGTGTGTGTGTGTGTGTGCGTGCGTGCGTGCGTGCGTGCGTTTGCGTGTGCGTGCGTGTGTAGTGAAACAACGTGCCAGGACCAGACAGAAGCTGAAATGCACGACAAACAGCTATCAATTGGCAAAAACAATCATTCAATGACGTCACGAAAACGGACCGCACGGGGTGATCATGATGATGAAGCTTCCTTCCTAGGTCCGTTGTGACTTGTCCATACCTACTAAAATACATTATATACTGAGTCGACTGACTGCTTGTTGACCACTCATTTCAACTGCAGGCCAAGTAACGAACCTACATGCTGAATACGACGAACATGTGAAGCTTCTTATAGCTAAGTGTGCAGCTGTTGGAGTTCACAAAGTGGGCCGTATGTACATCTAAATTCACTCCATTCACTCGCTAGGTGGTGGCTGGTCGATTAGTCTGCAAGTACTAAGCGAGCGAACTGGAATTACTATAATACGTACTTATCAATGCGCGGGTAAAATCGGATAATCGTCTTTGACCCCTGACCCGATAAACGCAAAATACGAGCACTGTGAATGAAACCGCTAGTATGCGTGCGTATATATAATTATTGTTATGGGGCATCTAACCACACTATAAAATTCCACAAACATCTGAAAGGATAGTGTGCGGCGTAGCTGCACGTGCTGCCTTTACTAGCATCTAAGAGCACATTACCGCAATAACAACCTCTGTGGACATTATAAACTAATCTATCAATATTCTTGTCGTAGATCCATCCACCCTGCTCGTGCTGTGGCAGAGCGCAGTCGTCACGCAGGCATGCAGTGCTACCATGACCTATTATAGGGGTGAAGGTCTGATGCCCATTCACATTTAAAATGTATTGTGAATTATGAAATTCACGTTATAATCTGATGCTACTCTGGGGTAAGCGCTATGTTATGTTAGAACGCCTAAAATAGCATCAGATTATAAAAATGCCCAGGGCATGAATCATTAGTCTACTTCTAGAAGTGCACACACGAAAAATCAATCTATAGACTATAGTACTATGGATGTTGCCTGGCTAACCGAAACACCTTACATTTTCAACAATATTAGTCTTCACACCACGTACTCACCGCGTTATTTGCGTAACTAATAATTAAAGAGCAGTATGTCGTCTACCAACACTACTCCCACGCGCTGAGCTACGTTCAACGACACCACGACACCAAATATCACAGTGTCGTATCGCAACAAGGTAAACATGGCTTTCCTTTCATCTCCTCCATCAAGCCACACCACACAAAACCGTAGAGCAGCGACAGTAGTAGCAGCAGATGCAGCAGCAGCAGCGCTGGCAGGGATGCAGGCGCACACGGTAGAAATCAATAAACATGGCTGCCAACACCAGCCGGCATCTAGGCTCAGCCTCCGCGCTCAGCATCCAATAATCAGCACGCTGGGTATTATAACAATAACAAGCCCGGTTGCTGGAGAGCGCACCCACGCACGCGTAGACAAGTAGCATTTCACGCATACACGTACACTGTGCTAGGCGTACATATATATGCGGGGTACGCGCCTACGTGTGCGCGGGGGTACTCCTACACGTACGCTGTGGTACGCATACATGTACGCGGGGATACGCATACATGTACGCGGGGGTACGTCTATACGCATAAGCAGATATACGCCTCCATGTACATGGGGGTACGCATACATTTACGCGGGGGTACACGTACTCGGGGGTAGGCCTACACGTATACGGGTGTAGGCATGCATGTAAGTTGAGGTACACGTACATGGACATCCCTCTATCAGGTACATAAACGCAGGGTTAACATACACTTACGGCAGGGCACACGTCACAGTACTGTAAGTCTGTAACGCTGGACAGCTGTCACGCACCAACAACCAACACAGGCTATAGTGTATCAATCATTTCCTGGATCGCTCGAGAAAAATTGTAACCATGAGAGAAGGGAGTTCTTGTTTTACGAGACAAGCCGCGTGAATGTTCAATACAGTACTAAAAAGGACATACCCCATGCTATTCGTTTGCAACATCCAGTCGTAGAAAAACGCACGCATTTCCAAGTAAACGAACGTACGTAAGAACTCGTCGTTCGTAAATATGCTCCTCAATGTAATAGCAGAGTCGATTTCATTGTAACAACCGAGCTGGTGTCACGGCCGTCAATGTAACCAGACACGTGGCACATGTCCAATGACACGGGCCATAAACTCTTCCAGTAAATTGATCGAATTCATCGCACGCCCACACACACCATCAATCAATTTCTCATATTTCACAAATCCTTGAAACGCACGCACATCAGTACTGTCTGTCCGCGACTCCGCTAGCAATCATTCAAAATGGAGCAACATATTGTGGAAAAAACGCCGGATACAAAGGCAACCAGTAAGTGGCACAGCAAACGGGGGCATGCTTGCAACCATAAACCACCGTTGAACTACCTTGAAAACTGTAAAGCACGCTCAGTTCTCTCGTTTTTAATGGTTTTAATCACTGTTTAAACGCTGTTGAAGGTTAGAGATTACCAGTGCTGGGCAGTGGCGTCACGACACTCGTGTCACCAAGTCATGACACGTTGACACGCGCATCAATGCAAATGTCGCTCATGGAAAATAGAAGGACACACAGGGGGGAGTGGAGGTTACGATCTAGCTATGACGGTGCCCAAAAACTACTATAGTAGCTTACTAGGTTATGTATCTGCTACGTAAACATACACGGGCCACCGTAGAACGAACTTTGTTGCGCTAATTTTGATTTAACTAAGGGGTGGAAAACATAACAACTGCACGTCGAATTACAACCACAGTTAGAACACACTAAGTTATTAGAAATTCCTCGTTTTCCCGTGTTGTTATACGAATCAGTCGATCCAGCACTCTCGTTGCCAGTCGTGTAACCTGTAATGTAGTGAAACAGTGTGTGCATGCATGCGTGCGTGCGTGCGTGCGTGCGTGTGTGTGCTTGTGCTTAGTGTGTATACATATATATGTGTATGTATATATATTTACCTCCGCCAAGGAGGTAATGTAATCGGTCTCGTGTGTGTGTTCGTGTGTGTGTGTTCGTGTGTGTGTTCGTGTGTGTGT